GGCAAAAAATGTTAAAAAATGTTTGCTAAGGTCAAGCTGTTTGTTGGTGGAAACTTTAGAGACAATTATCATAAGAATGTAACTTTTGCTTAAATCATTTGAGGAGAGGTTATATTTTGGGTTAGATAATGATCACTGTTTGATCAATTTAGCGTTTCTCAAATTGTACTTTGGAATGTCACCTTGTTAATTTAAATGATGTTACTAGGTTTTACTGTTTAAGCTATACTTAGCCATAGATAACTTTTGTCACATTGCCCATGTCTTTGTGTCCTTTTGAAATGATTGAATCAACTGATTTTTCTTGTGAAACTTCCTTGTATTTACAATAAAAACAGAAGCTAACTTTGAATCGGGGCTGTACCCAGTTTTCTCCTTTTAACAGAGGAGTTGTTGAGGTGCAGTCCCTTTGGGCTTCTCATTATATTTGTGTTGCTTTGAGTAATCTTTTTTTGCATCTCCATTACACAGTGAGAAGCATAACAGGAGGCTTCCCTTCTTCACCTGTAAAATGGGTATATAACACCAATTTTATAGGGATGTTCTGAGATTAAATGAGATTACACTCATAAATCACCTAGATCTATGCCAAATACATAAAGCACATTCCAAAAACAGCAATGAGAATTACTTTGAGTATTAATTTCTTTTTCAAAATTGGATAATTATTCATCCATGTTTTAAAAACTCTCCTGTCCTTTTAAATGCACACCATATGAAACTGCTGTTTCTCTAAGTCAAAACCAGTTGAATAGGATCAAACTCACTGACAAAAAGCCTGGGTCAGTCAGGTGCTCTTGCTGAGTAGTGAGGATATGCGGGTGGGGGAATCCCAGGGGAAGGGATGAGGGCGGAAGAGCAGGTGTTTAGTGATGAGTTCAGAGGTTATTTCAACTTTTAGACAAATGGCTCAGCTACACCAGTGAATTCTGCATGTGTCAGTGCTGACTACAGCAAAGATAGAGCCCAGGGAGAAAGCTGTCTTTTAAATCATCATGAGAACTCAAAATATGAGAATAATCCACAGTTACAGAGTATGTGGGCAAGGAGGCCACACACCTGAAAAACCACTGAGGGCGTGGCCGCCTGTCGAGGCCATAAACCAGCAGAACAATGACCCTAACTTATTTAATCAAGACAAATCTTCCATTTAAGAAGATGAGGATTTAGGGCCGAGCCCGTGGCGCACTTGGGAGAGTGTGGCGCTGGGAGTGCAGCAACGCTCCTGCTGCGGGTTCGGATCCTATATAGGGATGGCCGTGCGCTCACTGGCTGAGCGCGGTGTGGCCGGTCTCAAAAAGGACAAAAAAAAAGAAGATGAGGATTTATAACACATTTCAGAGGGAAAAAAATACTTAAATCCATAAAGGTTAAACTTCTTTAAAGTTTTAACACTTAAGAATAGATAACATAGAACAGACAAATCCACAGAGACAGAAAGCAGAGTAGTGAATGAGGAGGGAGAATGGGAAATGATTGCTTAATATGCAGAGTTTCAGTTTGAGATGATGAAAAAGTTCTGGAACTAGAGGTGATGCTTGTGCAACACTGTGAATGTAACTTTAAAATGGTTACAATAGTAAATTTTATGTGATGTGTATTTTACCACAATTTTTTTTAAGTACAAAAAAAGGGAACAGATAATATTTGAGTGACTACTATCCTGAGCACTTTACCTGTGCTGTATCCCAACAGTGCTGTGAGGTAAATATTATTACCTTCATTTTACTAGAGATAACTGGGGCTTCATGAGGCAATGTGACTTCCCCCAAAGCACACCAACCAGTAAGTGGTGAGGCCAGGATTTGAGCATAAGCTGTCAGTTCCAGGGCTGGTTCTCTGGATGCTTCGAAAACACTATGTAAAACTCTCGTGGTTGGACAAGGCTGGAAGCTGAGGTTTTAGGAAACTTAAGTAAAATCAGCACAAGAGTCCATACAAATCCTGACTCTTCAAAGCAAGTTTTTAATAAAACACATGAATATTAAATTGTTCTGGGCGCTGGCCAGTTAGCTCAGTTGCTTAGATCATGACGCTGATAACACCAAAGTCTAGGGTTCAATCCCTGTATTGGCCAGCTGTCAAATAAATAAGTTTAAAAAAAAAATTGTTCTAGAACACTAAAATATTCATACCTTCATTTTTCATGATGTAGTGGACAATTTGTCCAACGGTGTCACTATTTTCATTCATACTGTCATTCAATTCTGAAAGGAAAAAAGAGGAGGGGAGAAGGGGTTACAATTGATCACTGGCATCAAATCAATTACACATTCAGTTTCAGGGCCCAAGACCTCACTGAACAGCTTCTGATAACCTTGTGACCATCCATAGTCCTAAGATTCTAGGCTTTCTTCCTTCAGTCCCAAACTTCCTAATACACAGTGTACTGTGACTTCCTCAGCATAAGAAGCACAAAGACAACATATCACAATTGTCCACCGATTTCAAGTCCAAATACCCATTCACTTTCCAAGTCAACACTTTGGAAAAGCATTTGTACCAGTCGTTACTACTATTATTTCTGTCTCATCACTTCCTTAAACTCTTGGGGAAACAGGAAGAACAAAATTAATCGAAAGAAAAAAATAATGTTCCTTGGATTTTATTTTAACTGCAGGCTTACTATCTAAATTTAGTATATTAATTTCCTTTTTAAATTGGATAATTATTCATCCGTGTTTGTAAAACTCTCCTGTCCTATTAAACACATTTTCAAAGCACATAAATTTTGGCTGTGGCTATTTGCCCACAAACTCAGTTCATTTTAGGGGACTCTGTAGCAGCAGCATATGTGATAGTCTTTGAAAAAAAGCAAACCTCCACTCTGATACCGATCTGTATAATTTGTTTCAATAAGACAAGAAGGAAGAGGGAGTGTTGAAACACTCTATCCTAGTTCACAGAGAACAAATCAAGGTATGTAATGTCCCATGCATTTTACCTGGAAAAGTATCTTCTCCACCCAAGGGTCGGCTTCCCTCCCACGTGAATACACATGTTTGGTTAGACAGCGCAGAAGCGACTGCTAAACCGACCTACAGCGTATCTACAAAGGAGGCGAGGAGGAGGCTCTGCTTTCTGTTGACAAACACTCAACTTTGGTTTGCTCATAAGCAATGCATGACTCAACCATGTTCTTTCTCAGCCTCAAAGGTCAGTGGGGGTGGCAAAAACCAACAGTCCAGCAAGCTGGCAAGAAATGAGGAACCCCCCACCTTCGACCAGCCCTGTGGGTTTGCTGTGCCTACTCCAAATGTCACCTTCCTGCAAGAACTACCCTTACAGCAGCTGAAAGGGACATGGAGAGTTACCTACTAACCCTCAAGGCCCAAGTCAGGAAACCTCCCTAAAGGATGGTTAGAAAGAAACAGTGGAGAAAACAGGGTTCTATCTCTCAGGCTTTTCCAAACACTACATAACAACCCCAAGTGAAGAGGAAAAGGTGAGACACCCCGAAGATAAACTAAGGTTCTCACCATACTTTTACTTCACTGTTCTCATTATCATTACTTAATATAAATTCCAATCACAAAGATTTAAGATAGGGGCTGACCAGTTGGCTCAGCTACTTAGAGTGTGGTGTTATAACACCAATGTCAAGGGTTCAAATCCCCATACTGGTCAGCTGCCCAAAAAAAAAAAAAAGAAAGCTTTAAGAACAGATGTAACTTGCCCAAGGCCACAGGGCAGTTAAGGGTAAATTACCTGGTACATATTCAGTAAATTAAAGCAAGGTTTCAAACACTAGATGTGATTACTGCAAAATCCACACTTGTATTACACCACACCACCTGCTATTAAAATGGATCATTTTGCCTCATAGAGATGGTAAGTATACACGACTGGTTTTTTGTTTTAAAATTCTCCCCAACCCCCTCCCTACTCTCCTTCCTTGCCAATAAAAAGAATCCAGGTTATTTACCTATCTTTTCGACCTTTTCCTCTTCGATGTCCTGCTCGGCTTCTGTTGTACAACGATAGCCTTTCTTCTTAAGCAGGTGGCAGATGAGGACGCCAAAGAGCCCCATGATAAAGAACACGGGCACAAGTGCATATGCAATATATTCTGGGTGTCCATTCCCAGTACTGTTGGTGGGCGATGGGGTCGTCTCTGTTCTGGAGTGTAACGTGTGGCTGCCCCCATTGTCTACAGAAAGAAACATGCATGGCTGCATCAGATGTCTGTTGGGGGTAAGAAAAACCTGACAATCCTCAGGAAATGTTTATGCTAAATCAGTGTCTGCTCCCAAGACCACAGGCCATGGGACTGGCAGGTCTGGCAGCACAGGCACAAAGGACGAGAGCCCAGGCTTGGGCTAAAATGATCTGACTTCACCTCTTGTCCTTGCTACTCATAAACTGGGTCCCAACCTGGGTCATTTTTTTTTTTTAAACCTCTTAAAGCCACTCTCTGTCCTTTGTCTGTAAGAGTACCTACAAGTGTGGAATAAATGTGCAAGGTTTTAGTGAAGCGCCCAGCACAGGATAAACACACAAACGTTAGGTGATTTTACAGCATAGCACTTAATGATTGAGAGCACAGATTCAGGAGACTTGGGTTCAATTTCCGGCTCCACCAGTTAGTAGCTGTGTGACAATGAACAATGACTTAACATCTCGATGCCTTGATTTCTTATGAAATGGACATACTAATAATACCTACCCATCCTTCTAGGGTTGTTATGAAGATGAAATAATAAGGTACTGCATATAAAACGCTTAGAACCATTTCTTCAGCACAGCAAATGCTCACCTACATGCACTGGTCATTGAGACAGGATAGGGATGGGACTCCACTCCTTGACTGAGCCCCTCTTTATGAAATGGACATACTAATAATACCTACCCATCCTTCTAGGGTTGTTATGAAGATGAAATAGTAAGGTACTGCATATAAAACGCTTAGAACCATTTCTTCAGCACACCAAATGCTCACCTACATGCACTGGTCATTGAGACAGGATAGGGATGGGACTCCACTCCTTGACTAAGCCCCTCTCCCCTGTTTTCAAAGAAACCAGCACACAGCTAAGCTATTTTCACAAACTAAGATAAGTAACTNTTGGTTTTTTGTTTTAAAATCTCCCCAACCCCCTCCCCACTCTCCTTCCTTGCCAATAAAAAGAATCCAGGTTATTTACCTATCTTTTCGACCTTTTCCTCTTCGATGTCCTGCTCGGCTTCTGTTGTACAACGATAGCCTTTCTTCTTAAGCAGGTGGCAGATGAGGACGCCAAAGAGCCCCATGATAAAGAACACGGGCACAAGTGCATATGCAATATATTCTGGGTGTCCATTCCCAGTACTGTTGGTGGGCGATGGGGTAGTCTCTGTTCTGGAGTGTAACGTGTGGCTGCCCCCATTGTCTACAGAAAGAAACATGCATGGCTGCATCAGATGTCTGTTGGGGGTAAGAAAAACCTGACAATCCTCAGGAAATGTTTATGCTAAATCAGTGTCTGCTCCCAAGACCACAGGCCATGGGACTGGCAGGTCTGGCAGCACAGGCACAAAGGACGAGAGCCCAGGCTTGGGCTAAAATGATCTGACTTCACCTCTTGTCCTTGCTACTCATAAACTGGGTCCCAACCTGGGTCATTTTTTTTTTTTAAACCTCTTAAAGCCACTCTCTGTCCTTTGTCTGTAAGAGTACCTACAAGTGTGGAATAAATGTGCAAGGTTTTAGTGAAGCGCCCAGCACAGGATAAACACACAAACGTTAGGTGATTTTACAGCATAGCACTTAATGATTGAGAGCACAGATTCAGGAGACTTGGGTTCAATTTCCGGCTCCACCAGTTAGTAGCTGTGTGACAATGAACAATGACTTAACATCTCGATGCCTTGATTTCTTATGAAATGGACATACTAATAATACCTACCCATCCTTCTAGGGTTGTTATGAAGATGAAATAATAAGGTACTGCATATAAAACGCTTAGAACCATTTCTTCAGCACAGCAAATGCTCACCTACATGCACTGGTCATTGAGACAGGATAGGGATGGGACTCCACTCCTTGACTGAGCCCCTCTTCCCTGTTTTCAAAGAAACCAGCACACAGCTAAGCTATTTTCACAAACTAAGATAAGTAACTTTTTTTAACCACAAACTTCCCTCAGACAGTTAGCACGACTCCCATATGCACACAAAGCTTCAAGGTGACCATTACAATGGCTCTCCTGGGGTGGCAATTATGAGCAACACCACCATCTCGGACCCACTGAGCAAGCAGCACAAGGACCAAAACCCATACTGAGCATGCACTCATGCCACAACCAGGAAGAACAGAATGGACCACCTCCAGAGGGGAGAATGATGATGCTGGCCTGCATCCTTGCCCTATAAAGGACTCTGAACAGCCCTCAGAGAGCTAGCTTCCCTATAGCTATCTCCCTTATGCATAAGCTCTCTTCTCTTTAAATAAAGTGTTGCTTGCTTTCCTGCTGGGTGCATTGCTCATTTCTATGACTTTGATACTCAAGAAACTGGTCTGGTAACATTATCACACTGAGCAAGACAAAGATCCTTGTCTTCATTGAGCTTACGTTCTCGAAGGATTTAGTAAACTAACAGATCTACAGTATGAAGAAGAGGGGAGGGGCGCTCCCGTCGAGGGTTTGGATCCCACATACAGACCGGTTCCCGCTCACTGGCTGAGCAAGGTGTGGGTGCAACACCGAGGGTTGTGATCCCGTTGCCAGTCCCGGTCCGGTACGGGCCTGACACTGAGGGTTGCGATCCGTTGCCGGACACGAAAAAAG